GGTCCTCCATTATATAGACCAGTTTTCATCTTTGCTCACCAAAGCTTGATTTTTTTTACTAAATAATTTATTTATTTTCTTTTCGGCTTAGTCCCTTTATTATTCTGGGGTGGATTGACAGCAGATTGAACCATCAACTTATCCAGCACATGTTTATGTTGGATGCCCTTCCAGCTGCAACCCATCACTGGGAAACTTCCATACACACTCATTCACACACATACACGGACAATTTGGCATGCCCAATTCACCTATACCGCATGTCTTTGGACTTGTGGGGGAAACCAGAAGCACCTGGAGGAAACATGTCAACACGGGGACAACATGCAAGCTCCACACAAAAATACCAACTGACCCAGCCAAGGCTCAAACTAGCGACCTTCTTGCTGTAAGACGATCATTTATTTAATAAATTCTCTGAACCCAAATTTTGAACTGTAGTGTATTTTAATGCCTTTTAATTCGTCACTCTAGAATTATAAGATTCTATCTGACATTTTTGTTAAAATTGAGTTATTCACATATTCTTAATAAATGACAACTTATTTACATTATGTGATGTTTTTATTATGAGTTTTTTTATTTTAAGATGTTTCATTCAAAAAAAAAAAAAAAAAGTTGAATTCTAGCTTGGCTCTATAAGTTTCTTTGTGAGCCAGTCAGCATTTAAAAATACCTGAAAAGATGTGTGTAAATGTGATGATTTAGAAGCATTTTGACATTGAGATGAAATGGTAAATTTTACATTGTTGAAAAAGAAAGGTATAAAAAATGTTAACTGATGAACGTGAAATATTTTTATTTGGGTATATATTGTCAGTCAAATATTTTTCAGCGTTTATTAAACTCATTTGCTCTTTGTCTGCTTTCTTTTAAAGTCTTTAAATTTGATATTAAGCCTTAAAGGGCAAATACTTAATTTAATTCATAGGGCATGTATTTCAATTAATATAATTCAAACATTCATATAAAGCATTAAATTCAATAAATATTAACATAATAATTACATTAAATGAACAGCTACACTAGACAAATTTTTAGCACAGTCTTGTTAATTTGCTTAACATGAACAAGAAAAAAAAAGTTCATCCTAAAACATTGAATTAACGTTATAGAAAGCAAAAATCTAACTTTCTTAAGCATTACATATTGTTACAACATCAGTTTTTATTTTTAATTAATAAGCAGACTGATTGTATTTCTTGAAAAGTAATGCTTCACTTAATGATCTGCAAGATAGAACCTTATAATTTCAAGCGGAAATTATTTTTTAGAATTATTAGGTTCTATCTGCATTTGTCCTGTTTGTTTTACCCCAACTTGCAAATTTAAGAGATTTTTTATAATAATTTACATTTAGAGTACATTTAGGGGCTCTGTCATTTTAATGTATGAAAGAGAACTGTTTGCTGTATGGAATTAAAAACTTTGAAGCTCAATATCTCAAAATAATTTAGAACGCAGATAGAACCTTATAATTCCAAGGTGACGATATGTCAGCATCATAAGACATTTATGCATTAGAAAAGGCATCAACATGATACTGTAAAAATGTGATCATACAAGCTGTTTTTAATCCTTTCTGTTTTCATTTCAATTTGAAAGTTTGGTAACACTTTATTTTGATGGTCCATTTAAATATTAGTAGACTGACTGCTTAATATCTGCAGATACTGCTCCTTTAACAGACATTTAACTGACTATAAGAAACTTTGCATGTCAACTTACACTAACCCTAACCCCAACCTAACAGTCCACTTATAATCTAATGAGAATTAGTTGGCATGTAGATGCAATGTAACAAACAGACCATCAAAATAAAGTGACCGAAAGTTTTCATAATTATGATATTTCTTCTTTTTAAAAAGTCTATTATTTTAGTTGCTGTTAATTTTTTTTAAAAACAAATGTACATCTAACCAAAACTACAGACATAAGATTTTGTATAATCAAGGCTTTGCTAAATTTGAGTAAAATCCATTTTTTTCTATATTTCCCTAATAAAGTAGGACCACATGGGAGAGATTAAAACCCAACCACTTTAAAACCAACTCATAATCTTAGGCATGTGTTCCTAAATTTAGACCCGAGAAGAAAAAAGAAAACAGATTTCCCCCCCAAAAAAATCTCACATTTGATGTTTTTACAGGTTAACGAATGGGATTATGAGTCATTAGAACAGCCATTGAAGCTCTTAGGCCAGGCAAACCACATGTGACATGACTCCATCTAAAAAGGAGAGTTTATCTTTCTCTTCTGTTAATGGGACGTTCCCTCATTTGCAAGGTGATGGGCCATATAGGCAAAAGGTCTTGGCATTCTTTCAGCAGTCGTACTATTTGCAAGCACACACTGAGGGGGTCAGTAATATTGTACACAATGATGGGTAGCAAAACAAGTAGAGGCAAAGGCTGCTTCTGGAAATAGCTCACATAAACAAGATGAGGGGAGACAAACTGACGACACCTCCCTAGTGAGGGAAGACGGATTTAACTCACCTGGTTTAAGCTGGTTTAGGACGGTCTCCCAGCAATCTGAGAATTTAATAGTGTTTTGCTCGCTTCGCTGTGGATTGCTTTTTCCTTTGTTATTGCGACAGAAGAGCTTTTGCAATAGAGAGAATGTGTCCTTGTTGTCACAGTGAAGTGGTAAAAGGTCATAAAAGAGTGTGGATGCTCAGCGCTTGTGTAATTCAAGGAATCTTCTCTAGATCAATGGTGCTTGCAGTTGTTTTTCACACAGTGCACATCACCATGTTGACACATCTGTTCCGAGGCCACAAAAGAAAGCAATGTAAATGATTGTTTAAAGCTTTTTGAAGCCTGAATACAACATGTTATATGTTGTAAAAATGAAATGATACACCATTAGGGGTTTCTCAGACTGACACATTGGTGGAACCTCTAAAGGCAGCTTATTATAATGCCTCAAATACTGTGTGCTCAAAAAAACTGCAGCATATATGTTTCAAGTGCCTCAAAGCTTTTCCATGTCATCATTATGGTGTAACTGGAGGAACTCTGACAGTGTTTATATGAATTCCAATTTGCACTTTCCTACCCTTACTCATCAAAATTGTGCAGTCCTTCACACATGCTGTACTATAGCATGCGGCATTTGAGTTTATATAAGCCTCTTTTGATGCTATAGACAATTTTGAGGGATGTAAACAAAAACAATGGTCCCAACGTATTTCCTGATTTACATTTCTAATTTCTATAGCTTTCGAGAATCCAAAGAGCCATATATTGCTAAATAATGTTACGATAGCTGTTTTAACATTAGGTTACGATCGAATTGTCTCCTGTTACAGTTATGAAATCGTTTGATAACAAGCAGGAAATGTTCATGGGTCAATGACATGACCACATTGAAATGGTCTATTTGATACAATATGGGTGATTTAAATATAGTTGAATCTGGGTGATTTTAATATAATCAAAGAGAAAACAAAAAGTGATCAATTAACATCAGGGTGGGAATTATAGAGGGTTTGGGGGGATTGACCTGATTAAACAAGGCTTGATTCCCCGCTGAAAAACATCAAAATAAGATGTATGAGGGGTCCCTTTGAACCTGAGAAAAAGTTCACTCTAATCTGTATTTTAAATTATAATGTTTATAATTAAAATATTAGATATTAATTTAATGACCCCTTTAACAGTTAATACCATAGGGAATGCATAATTATGCCAATTCATCTATAGATAAACACGAGAAAAAAGTCTAAAACAGGCAGATTTAGACAACGATAGGAGTACCGATAAGAGTTCACAAAACCGGTTTCTCATAAAAAAGATGTTTGTTTCTATATAGCCTAAAAATAAAGTCAAATTAGATGCTTGGTTGGCCCTAAAGTAAGCCAAAATAGCTAATCAGGTTAGAATACACCAAATAGCCTATCCCACAAAACACTGAAAACATAAAAAACATTTTATTAACAAATAAGATAAAATGTAAATAAATACATAAACTTGTTTCACTGAAGGGGCAGAAAGGTGGCGTATTTAGTAGCAAATTGCCTCAGAGCAAAAAGTTTGCTGGTTTAAGCCCCAACTGGGTCAGTTAGCATTTCTGTGCGGAGTTTGCATGTTCTTCCCGTGTTGGCATGGGTTTCCTCTGTGTGCTTCAGTTTCCCCCACAAGTCCAAAGACTATAGGTGAATTGAATAAACTAAATTGGCCACAGTGTAGTATGCGAGTGTGTGCAAGAGTGTGTAGGTGTTTCCCAGTGTTGGGTTGTGGCTGGAAGGGCATCTGCTGCATAAAACATATGCTGGATAAGTTGGCGGTTCATTCTGCTGTGGCGACCCCAGATTAATAAAGGGATTAAGCTGAAAAGAAAATGAATGAATTATTCACTGAGGCATGTATTACACAAACTAACATAACTGAAAAAGTTGACCCTCTGATTGTCAATGTATAATTCGCACACCAATTTACATGTTTTTTTAAATACTAGTATCTTATTTTTAATAAAAATTAAAACTATAACAATGCATTGACTGTGTGACACAATTTATTTATGACATTTTCATGTCAATAAACCAAATGTATTGCATTGCTGCATTGGGCGTTTGGGTGTAGACAGCTTCTTTGACTACATTTACATGTACACCAATTGGCTGATTATTGTTTTGCTGCATTTTTATCACCATACATTCATAGCCAAACCAACAACGCACTTTTAAAGATTTTATTGCGCCATGGTTTTTTATTTACTTCCAGTGCAGAATGCTTGGTGGTTCCTTCTTGTCATCTCCTTTTCACTGTTTCTAACCAACCCTGGGTTCGAGGAACCTCTTATATTTTCTTAAATATAGTACCTCTCCTTTTAATTTTCACAGTGCTATCCGATTCAGAACTTCTAAAGATGTTTTAGGCAGAAGAGACCTGAAACGCAGCCTTGCCCTAATGCAAACGCACCAAACTTCCTGCATAGCGCGCTGTGGTTACATAAAGACTCGCAGCAGCTGAGCTTATGTTGAGCCGTATCGTGCCCTGAAGTGACACCGCGGAAGGGGAGAATGGGAGGAGACGCGGCGGAGGCTGGCCGGTGTTCGGTTTCACCAGCTCACACGTGACCGCAATGGCTGCTCGTCTGTGCCGTGCGGTGCATCATTGCTCTGCCGCCCCGCGAATGTAGACTACAGCGGGATCCTTGCGTCGGTGAACTGTAGGAGCGGGCACTCACCACCCGCTGAAGCCAAATTCCTCCGCAGGCTCGCCCGGCGGAGAAGAACGACATTCGGCGGAGAAATTAAAGCATCTCGGGCTTGAACTTCCAGCAACCAGCACGGCGGTAGGAGGAGTCAACAGGTATTGGCGCTCTCTGTTTACGTGACAATACAATTGCTCGGCTTGACAGGTAGTCGCATTGATAGCGTCTTGACAGATGTGGAGCTGTGAATAGGCGCGTCTCTCAGCGCTCAGATGCGGTGTGCTACTTAACTGTTAAAGCCGCCCGTTGAGTTTGATCGAAACCGCATACCGGGTAATAAAGCCCGGTATGCGGCAGCTGCGTAATAAAATGCGCGGTATTGTTCTCTCACCTGAATGAGCAATGTGTCATTGAGAGCTTTTGCAGCAAGTCCTTCATGCAAAGGCTCGCCAAGCTGCACTAGCTGTGTTGTTCAACTGAATTGTGTCGACTTTATTCATACTGTGTATATTTTTTTACATTGACAAAGACTGTGTGGATGTTTAAAATTGCAATCATATTATATGCTTGATTATACAGGCATGTATGGCATGTTGAGAGGGCTGTATGCACCATGCTATTATATCACAAAGCATTTAAAGTGGGTCACTTCATTCTACAAACAAAAGCAACAGATGCCTGTGTATAAGTAATTTCCTGCATGGATTAACTGCTTGAAATACTGTTTAAGGTCATTTGGGTATAGCTAAACTTGCATTTTGAGTACCTGAATACTGAGCAGAATCTGTATTCAGCTGACCTGAAAACTGCTAAAGTCACAGTTCACCCACCAATGAAAGTTTGCTGTTAATTAACTTCCTAGGGCGATTAAAAATCTAGGTATATTGTCATTCAAAAGAACATTAAGTATGATTTTTAGATGAAAATGTCCTCTGATTAATGAAACTTTGAGAATCCAAAAAACAACATATGGGCTAAAATTTAAGTAAAGTTGTTTTTTATTTACACATTCTGACGTTCTCCTTAACAAAACAAATAATTTTGTTTTCAAAAAGTATTCTTAGCAAATTTCAAATAGTGAAATCATATTAATAGCAGCCAACGACTATCAGAGTACAGCAGTGTTCACACAGTCAAATAAATAGTGCTGATGTTGTTTTGAAGTCACATTTACGTGATTTTAGGCTGAATATTTAAAGAACCATGGCAAACAATGTAGGAAGCAAGTCACAATTTGTTACTGAATGAATGTGCGAATATAAAACCAACTCTACCTCAATTAGTCTACAGGCAAAACAAAATGAATACCCATTGGTCCAGGAGATATATATATATATATATATATATAATGAAGCGAATATAAAACTAATCTTTATTTACAACTGTCTTTAATTTACAACCTCAATAAACTGTCCTGAGCATATTCACAATATAGCACAAACCTTACGTGGCATAATGACATTTGTGCAAATGCAAACTCATATGTTTGATGCACTGTTTATATATAGTGGGGAGGGAGGAAGTGCAATAATGCGTGCGTATTCTATATGTTGCAAAATAGGCAGAAAAATATGATTATGGTCACGTTCATGAACTCAATCAGGAAGATTGACTTTCCACAGATTCTCAGTATTTGATGTACTTTTAGGGCTTTTTGGAATATATTCAGATTTCTATTGCTGAGAGTCTGTTTCTCGCAGCTGTTGAATATTTTGGATTCTTTTTTTGTCAAACCCTGCCTGTATTAAATAAGATACAATAAGAAGCTTGATCAAGCACATCCCAGCAGACACACAATGCAATATGATGTTAATATTAGGTTGGATTTAGGTTGCCAGCGTCTAAGGACAATGTTATTCTGACTTCCAATAATGATGTTGATATTTTGTTGATTTTACGTTGTGTTAAAAAGTGACAAATCTAACGTCTAGCTAACCTCTTAAACCAACATCATATTGACGTCAAATACTGACATTTATTCGTCAGGTATGGCAACCAACCAAAGTCCAACATTTGATAGGCATCATATTGGTAACACACAATGTCAAGCTGTAACATCATTAGACATTGATATTTGGTTGTTTTTAGGTTTCATTGAAAAGTAAACAAAATGCAACATCTGTCCGGCGTTGGACATTGACGTTGACCTGACGACGGGTTCTAATGTCAACTTGATTTTCATTTCCAAACAAAATGCAACATCCCACGACCCTAGCATTCAACACCAGTCTGATGTCATGTTGACATCTTGTGCCTGCTGGGATTCATTGAATGCAAACAAGTTGTGTGTAAGAGGCATGTGCACAAATGTTAAGTAGAATATTAACCTTATGCCTCAAATATGCAACGATGTAAAACGGGAGTTTAAACTCAGTCCTCCTGGAAAGCTCTTGTCCTGCAGAGATTAGCTTCAACTTGTGTAAACAAACCTACTTGGAAGCTTCTAGTAAGACCTTCATTGGCTTGACAGGAAATGGAGCTTAACTCTTCAGGACAGTGGCCCTCCAAGACAGAGTTAAGACCACCTTGATATAAAAGAACTGCTGAAATTGTTATTTAAACCAGTTCATGCAAACTGTTCTAGAGCGAATATTTGCAGTTGCAGTGAGATATTTGACTTTTGATTATTGTCAAATTAACTATTTTTAAAAGACTTTTAAAGAGGAGTTGATTCCAAATTTTTTCACTCTCGATTCTTAATGCCTCTGAATCAGTTCCCTTTGTAATAAACTCCCAGTCCAATACGAAGTATATTCCGTTATGAGACTAAGCCTGTTATGATGTCAATATCTGGTTTTGTGTTATCTGGGAGTAAAAAAGTTCTTTAGAGCAATATGAGGGGGAGATGTTAATGATGACCGAATGTTAGTTTTATAGCGCACTATAAAATGCAGCAGTGAGGATAAAATGAGTCACATTTGTGATACATTGAAACTATACAGAATATGGTAAAAGAAGCTAGATGTTTTGGGTTAGTTCTGTTTTCGCTGCTAAATGGGAAGTTCTTCGACCATCTGTATGCAATAGAAAGAGGAATGGGTACGATATTTGCTTCCTCATAGCGCTGCCACTTTCATGCCCGTTGTCTGCAGAGACGTATGCCACAAAGCTTGACATTTAGATTTTTCTGCTTATGAAAGCATGTGCATGCTCACCGTATCACCTCCTGCTGTGCGTGCTTCAAATCTTCCGTCAGGCTCTGTAATGTTCTCTGTCGTACCAAAATAGCAGGGAGGGAACACAAAGCTGACTGAATCGGTGCTATCCAATAAAGCCATCTTTGCTGTTTTTTTTTTCTTTTTCTTTTTCAGAAATCTGCTTTTTTTTGCACTGCTGGAAGTTGTCACGCCCCTCTGTAGTGCTCTGTTTTTTTATCTCCCTCCCTCTCTCTTTCTCCACTGGATGGATTTTAGCGTACTTTCTCATTAGTCATTTCAAATTGTCCGCAATATTGTAAATTGATGGAACAGATGATTATTCATTTTGGATCCCTGTCTTTAAAGGGATCTTTCACTCAGAAATGAACATTCTGTCATCAGTTACTCACTCTCATGTCATTCCAAACCTATTAAACTTGTGCTCATATTTGAAGCACAATTGAAGATTGTCCATTCATTTATGGTCTAAGAAATCTGCATTTTTATACTATATACAGGGTAGTTGTTAAAAGTAAGTCGTATAAATAATCCGGAGAGAGTTGATTGCTTCTTGAACTATATATATACAGTATATATGACTATAAACCTAGGATGATGATGTCTTGATGTACTTGTAGCTTTCCAGTTTTGTTTGACTTTTTCATTTTCTGTCTTGTTTTCTCTTGAAAACCCTAATGAACACACAAACATAGAGCACATCTAATATGGCAAATGACTTTTCCTATTTTTGATGATGTCTGTGTAAGGGCTTTCGTCATTATGCAAATAGACATGACATTTAATGGAAAAAGAAGAGTTTTTCTCTTCCAAAAGTTTTTTTTTTAATTAAATTATGATCAGTATTCAGAGCTCAACAATAAGGATTGCCTAAGCGTGAAAGACGCTCGGGACAGTAAACAGGATCGTTACTGGCCCAGTTGGTTACTTCCCCAAGTCAAGAAACAGCTTGTGCTTTTAAGCCTTTAAATGCTATGTTCTCTGTGATGTCGTAAACACCATATTGCTATTTGTTTTTCTTATGTGATTGGATGTTGTGAGCACGTTATTTTGTTCCGTAACCAGGGGTCTGCTCTTCGTATATGGATTACTCAAATAGCTGGATTTGGTTATTAACGATTTGACACGATCCAGGATTGTTTCATTTTTCAAAACTGATTTGAGTTGTTGTCAAAGCAACAGGTCTGGTGGCTCAAACCTGCTCGGGATCAGCCAAATTTCATATAAACAGTATTAAATTGTGTCATTCAAGGAAAGGTAATACTGAAAGTATGTACCGAATTCTGATATTTACTTGAAATTTTAGTTATATATACTTGTAAAATATAGTAAAAATAGTTTTTAAAAGATTTATAAATAAAACTTATGCCATCTGCACTCCAAGATAAAAGTACAAAGACTATCACAGGGTTGTTCTCCCCAAGGTGTTGGAAGAAAACATTAATATGGATACAAAACTTGTAGTATTTTAAGGTACCAACTTTAGTACAATTTGTGTATGATAATAGACATGCACACTATTCGACTGTTTTTTGAAAAATGATAATTTATGCAGTCACGCACATGTTGTGACAGTTAATATGATGGTGATTTGATGCTTTGCAAAAGCATTTGCAGACACCTTTACTGATATCTAAGCATTTTTAATGCAAAATTATTTTAAATAGCCAGTTATTCCTTAAGGCTGATTTATACTTCTGTGTCAAACGCACGCGTATGCTACAGTGTTGACGCATAGCCCTACGCCTTGGCCATCGGTGTCGCTGACGTGCACCTCTCAAAAAATGTAACTACACGTCGCAACGATGCGTAGCGCAAGCTCTGTGATTAGTCGGCTTGGTAGCGCTGACGAGTCTGGGCGGGACCAAGAGCAGCGCGAATAGCGCGACCCCGATGGTGCGATTGTTTACAAGTGTGGAGTCCTGTGAAGTAGCTCCAGATGGAAAGTTTTGTTTTGTGTTTACCTCATAGTTAAAGTTGTTGCACGTCCGCTGGTTCCTGCC